CGGTAAGTACTAACTGAAGGCATGCAGCTCAGTACTAACTAGAAGAGTGCGAACATTTCGATAACATCGCTAACACGGGATGTCTAAGCTGGTTGCTCGGGCTGTCTTGGTATTCTAGGTATGACAGCATTTCTCCCTGTTACATAGCTTTTCATACAAACTGCATATTATCCGTTTGATTTGATTACATTTTCCATATATTTTAGAACAGTTCTAAGAAATTATATTTTCGAATACCAACATTTCCTAGGAAGACTGGTTAAGTGAATTTAGATATTCATATTTCCAGCATCCTTCATTCCTGCGCATTCCATACTTGCTCAGTTACGTTTTTTTGTCATGAATTTTGCCTTATTTGTTCTTTCTTCTAATAACAACAATAAGTGTTATCCGTATCAATAAGTTTTATCCGCGAAAAAGCAGGCAGTCCTGCGGATCGTCTTCGAAGGAGCGGCGCACATACATCGAACAGACGATGGGTACAAATTAGAGATATGCAGCAGGGCTTGACACAATACCTAGTCATAGAATTGCAGATGTGTTACAAACGCGGAGTTCTTATCAGTATGCGTTTGCTCAGGCCCACAATGCAAAAAACACAAACAATGAATCAATGATAAATTGCAACAAAACAATCAACTTCATTTTCTTAGCTTTCAAGTCTTATTCTCAGTGCAAAACGGAGGCACTTCTCAGTGACTCGAGTGCCGGCAACAATAATGTTTGACAAGACTGCTGAGGACTGCTAGAAGGAGAAAGCTGAAGGCAAAACGGTACAACTGTTCCTCATATCAGGCACAATTCAACAAAATGTAATGAGATGGGTTCTTTCTTGAAGCAGTTTTGAAGCATGGATCTGGATCCGGGAATAAATGTGACTAAGCATTGCAACGATTTTGTCAGCATAGCAAGAATGCCAAGATCGCTCGGGTAATCAGTATGATTTCTCGTTTTAGTGGTATTCTGGGTTGCTTCCACATGCCAGGCGCAGCTGCTAGTGTACGGTAAATTAAAATGCGAAAATATCAGTGATTCGAAACAAAATATTGCTGGGCTACACAAGCTTACTCACGCATTCAAACTAGCGATTCGGGAAGTCCAGTTTTCTCATGTTCCCACCACTATAAAACAGTGTTATTCGCGTTGTCTGTGATTACGCCGGTCATTTGAAAGATATCTTGACATGTGCCGGAAAAGCATTCAAAGTGTTCAGCACAATCGCGCACTGCCAAGCTGCATAGCCGTCCCTCAACTTTGATGCAGATACCGTTCTCACAAGTTTCACCAATCTGACAGCTTTTACCGAAACATGCTGCAATATTCAGCGCTATGTACTCCGAAATCATTAAAATTCAATAAGGGAATAATAAAGAAACATGCCTTGCCCATCGGCATTTATTTCTCACTTGTTCACGACAACATCCACTCGTTTATCCGGCGAATCCTCTAATGTTTGCGAGGTATCAGAGGCCCTCAAAGCAGCTTCATAATTAGAATTTTCAAACTTTTAAAAATAATTACCATTTTTTGTGCAACGCCCATCGACGCAAACATACGGTTTCGGACATTCGACATGACACTGTAATCCTTGCAGCAGCCTACACTGACCTTCACGACATGCATGATCCGGAGGACAACGATTGGTGCATGGATCCAGAATACAACGTCCATTCACACATATTGTACCTACAGAGGAAAGCTTTTTAGTGGCAAATGGAAACTGCCCTGATGTCAAAGCTGAAGAGCAGAAGTACTGGGTAAAAAAATGGGAGACATCTGAGCCGTGGGAAAGCAATTATGTTTATTCCATGGCTGTATACCTAATAAGGCGGGTGACCTGTGACAACAGCAGTTTTACTTACAGATTTATGCTTACTCATGCAGAAGATACCGGGTGAAGGACATTGGATGCATTCGAAATTTGACGGCAATGTATCTATTTGTGCTTTAGAGATGTGTAGCTCAAAAGGATCGTTGCGCTTCGCTCGTGGCGGTATATCAGTAGTAATATCACTAACACGATCACTAACATCACCAACATGAAATAACCACACCAATTATTCACATATTCTTACTATTCTTGGACAGGTGTAGAATTTTTTTTAAAGCATAAGCTCAAAGATACGAATTATCTCTTACTAAAGTGTTCCCGCTGAAACAAGCATTACGACGTAAGCTGGCATTTCCTTACTAACCGATTTTCACAGTGGATTACTTAACGATGTTACTTTGAGCGGAAGTTTTTTTGTTCAGCAAAAAGACGTACAGTTCAGTACCGTCCAAAAGCACCAGGGACACCCAATTCGCTAAGAAAAAGCATGTCGGATGATTTTTAATCCCGCATTGAACTGGCAGTTGCGATATTGCTAGCACCGCGCCGTGGGTTTTCGAATCAGAATTCCAACAGGGAAGCCGGAAAAAATTTCTGATAAACTAAACCTCCTTCACACGCTGAATTGATGCAGTCACGACCAACTGCCGTTTGACATGTCCCATCTACGCAAAAAGAGCCGGTCGAGCAAGATACGTGAGCACATTCTAAATCAAAGTATCATGACTTTTGCGAAATTACCATCATAATCATAAATCACAAATTTTTTACTAGGTTAAAACTAGAAAAGATCTGTTGAAATTTCTTTCGAAGTCTTCCAGATCTTCAGTCTTCTAATTTTAGAGAATTTTCAGATCTAAGATTTCAGGTGCAGAATGATGTTGCCTGCGGTCATCGAGAGCATTCTTTCCACCAGATGGTTCAATTTTTTTAAAGAATACCAGCTGCACTGAAAGTGCGAAATTATCCATGAAACAATAGCTGATTAGACAGCAGTGAAATTTAAGGAAAGGTTAGAACATTCAATGCTTTTTAGCAAACAATGTTGTAATAATTTCTTCCGGAAAAAATGCCAGCATATTTGAATACAATACCTTTCGAAAGCACGAAAGCTCAGTTCGAAACATTTTTGCTCGGTTAGATTCGATTAACGTTAGTGAAGTCTAGCCTTGTGTTTGTCAAAAAGGTCAGATTTGGAAAGCGACTCACACCGGCGTCCTACTAGTACAAACTTCGACATTCTCGAAACACGATTTATTTATAAGTGAAAGTGATGTAATCATGAAACACTGCAGTAATCGTATGCATGTTATTCTCCCTAGTCAAAAAGATACTTACCTCACTGTTGTCAAAAAATGACAGCGTTTGGGACGAGTCGGCGATGCTAGGTCACACAACCTTCTCAAGTGCTTCTGTTGAAACAGAGGCAGAGCTGGTAACCCCTTCACAATGCGGAACGAATGTTAGGATTACCAGCAGGTTAATCACCAGGCAATATAGCGTTCGTCAAAAGTTGCCCGATGCAGTTGCAGAACTGCGGAATCAGGCCATAAATTGCAGCTTCCCGCGCAACTGTGCATTTAATTTAAGCGAAGGCACGTTTTAATGACATTTGCATTCCAAAATGGAAACCTACTTGGATCCGGGAAGCATGTCCCCTGCTGGCACACCTCGCCTGGATCGCAGTTACATGAGAGTGGCCTCTTCAGTGGGACGCATTTGTTTTCGTGGCATTCGAAAATTGGTCCACAATCAAAATGCGTAATACAGAATGAGTCAGTGACCGACCAGCAAGCACCATCTCGGCATATTTCATTTTCGGTGCATGTCACATCGGTACATCCTTAAATACCATAAAATAAGCTTTAGCGGGGACAAGGAGGGGCAAGAATGGAGAAGGAATGAGAAAGCGATTCAAAAGAAAGCATGAAAGCTTGATGTTCTGGTGGTACAAAAATTTGACGTGTCGCAAAACAGCGGTTATGCAGGGATGCTAGTATGCCGTTTAGAGGAGGAGGATGGCGTGAAAAAAAAGTGCTGAGTTTTCAGAAAAACTCAGCTTTTCAATGATGTATTTCCTAGTCGATACAGGTATCTTATTCTGTTCTGGTAGTGCAAAGGCCCGAGACGACACAGCAGTGACAACTCGAGATGGCTAAAACCTTGGCAACTGCTGAGCCGGCACCCCAGCCCTTTCAAGATCGCCATAAGATTGACCACTGGGCGACGTAGCATTGGTCAAAGATGCCAGTTGTATAGTTCGAGAATATGCCAGTTGAATAGTTTGGTATGAACAGCAGCTGATTAAAATAAAGTAATAAGTATGTGCAGGGAAATAATAAATATAACGTATTTAAATCATGATTTTCAATGTCTCAAAACAGTCGCTATGAAGTGTCGGTGGTAGTAGTATTGCAGCAATATGCCGACATTCGGTCGGAGCTATTCCAGGTCATCGAAAAGAAAACGTCTTCAGTTACTGCCGCCGCCCGTACTATTTATGCAGTGTGGCTTTCCAGAGGCATTTGAATTCAAAAAGTGTGTGCATTTTTACTGATCTCTGGAAAGAGAAAAACCTTAACTATCTTCCACACAGCGGCCATTAACGCATTTGCCTTTGAGACCGCAATTGGATGTTACCGATTTGAATTCAGTGTCGGAGAGCTGGACGTTTCGATCGCATGGAAGTCCAGCTGCTGGATAGCAGCGGCCCTAAAAATCATCAGTCTTCATTTCCAAAAGCAATTCTTTGAAGTTTTGATAAACCACGATCATTCAGTTTGTGAGATACGTCACTGCTGCCTGGGAGTCGCAGCATTTGAGATGAGGTGCTGATTCTAGACAGGCCGATAATACCAGACGGTGCAGCACCCGCAAGGATAATAAAAAAAGTTTGCAGCTGCACAATTGGATAAGCAACAAAAAAGGAAGACATTTCGTTCCTTCCCCTGTCAATCTTTTTTTTTTTTTTT